AGCTGGAGATTAATTGCAAATAACGTGCAATATATGGTGCTTTACATCTGACGTGGACTAATAATAATGGTGCTTTACATCTGACGTGGACTAATAATAATGCGAAGGAACGTGAATTTAAGCGACAATATGTTGCGCATGCAATAATAAATAAACAATATAAATATAAACAAGCTACGATAAATTTTGTAGATCTGCAAATAGCAGTCATCATCAAATACAACATTAAGTTATATATAAAATATATATATATATAATTTTTATGTAGAATATATATATTTTTTCTAAAATATTTTTATGATTATGTAGAGAACTCTCCAGCACATTTGCGCGTCTGTCATCATTTAGTGGATGAAGCAACATCTGAAATGGACACTGAACTTAAAATATTTATACATCTGACGTGGACTAATAAATAATAATAATGCGAAGGTTTAAGCGACAATATGTTGCGCATGCAATAATAAATAAACAATATCATAAATATAAACAAGCTACGATAAATTTTGTAGATCTGCAAATAGCAGTCATCAAGTACAACAGTAAGTTATATAATATATAAAATTTATATATATAATTTTGATGTATAATATTTCTTATTTCTTATGATTATGTAGAGAGTTCTCCAGCACATTTACGCGTCTGTCATCATTTAGTGGATGAAGCAACATCTGAAATGGACACTGAACTTAAAATATTTACATCTGACGTGGACTAATAATAATAATGCGAAGGTTTAAGCGACAATATGTTGCGCATGCAATAATAAATAATGGTGCTTTATTGGTGCTTTACATCTGACGTGGACTAATAATAATGCGAAGGAACGTGAATTTAAGCGACAATATGTTGCGCATGCAATAATAAATAAACAATACCATAAATATAAACAAGCTGCGATAAATTTTGTAGATGTGCAAATAGCAGTCATCAAGTATAACAGTAAGTTATAATTTAATAAACGAAGTTGGAACATTCGACGCAGCTTATATGAAACTAATTATTATTTTAAGTAAACAATGTAATAACAGATATAAATAATTTTATTAAGTAAACAATGTAATAACAAACGCGAGACACTACCGTGTCTCTTGATATCATATAGTAATAAGAACCTTGTGTACATAGAAAATTTATTATAATTTTATTAAGTAAACAATGTAATAACAGACGCGAGACACTACCGTGTCTCTTGATATCATATAGTAATAAGAATTTATTAAATAGATTCTTTGAGATAAAGTTGTTGTTAGCTCTTTCCATGCTTTTTCTACTTGTTCCAGTGTATTTTTATATTATACAGGGTGTCTGGCAATAATCGCCCCACCGGTCATATACAGGTAGAGGAGGTCAAATCGAGTAGAAAAGTCCTTTACCATTTTTTAATTTTCATAATAAGTACTGAGTAATTAACGAAAAAAGATCGGCGAATCCGCGCGAGTAAAGCGCGCGCGGTGAGAAGGACGTCCCACTGCTACGCGATCACTAGGACACAAGGATCTAGCGTTACGCGCCGCTCGTATGTTGCCATTGTCATTTGTAGAGCGCTCCTCCCAACGCTTCATCGCGCGCCTAGTGATCGCATAGCAGTGGGATGTCCTTCTCGCTGCACGCGCTTTACTTGCACGGATTCACCAATCTTTTTTCGTTAATTGCTTAGTACTTATTACAAAAATCAAAAAATGGTAAAGGACTTTTCTACTCGATTTGACCTCCTCTACCTGTATATGACCGGTGGGGCGATTATTGCCAGACACCCTGTATATATATAAACACTTAGGACCATTTTGATCAAATTCCGATTAAACTAATCGACGATTAACTTTCAGTGTTACCAATAACATTTCTGCTAATGTAATCGTTTTTCTCTTTTTTTTCTAATGTAAAATGTGTTTTATTTGTCATGTTGGCAACACTGTAATCGTTAATTAGTTTTACCAGAGTTTGGTCGATGTAACTGTTTATTGTATCAAAATAATTAAATATTTTACCAGTTTCACCGATACATGTTGACTGAAATTTTATTTTAGTAGTCAACGGTTCCGCTCGTTTTTCTCTTTGAAGATTATCCCACATGCTGCATCCTAGACGAGTATTGTCTAAAATGAAAAAAGAATTAACTGGTTTTTTTTATGCAGTTCAATAGTTCTAATACTTAAATATTTCAAAAGAAGCAGTTTAAATTTCTTTTCAAAAACTGATTATTTTTAAAATAATTTACAGATTTTGTTAATTTGCAGATTTTATAATCATTTTTTGATTTTGTAAAGAAATTTCTGCGCTTGATTCATAATAGTTATCAATCCATTATCAATTTATAAAATATTACTTTTTCAAATATTATGTTGTCAGTAAATTTTGAACTTATTATGCCTTACGTGAATAGTTAATTTAATAGTAATTCAATTATATTTTTACCTTCATCGTCTTTACGGTGATTTTGTGGTGATGAAAAAGGTAACTTTGTAGATAAAGTTACACTCCTTTTTGTCGATGCTTCATTAAGAATTGCCTTCTGAACTCGTTTATATTTATCTTCGAAAGCTTTGGGTAATTGAACATTTGATTTTTGAGGTTCTCTATTTTCTTTTTCTTCGTTTGATGAACTGCTTGAATCTGATACATATGTGGAAGGCTTGGTAGCCGAACTATACAAAAAACCTTTTCTTTTCTTTTTAGTGTTTACTGCATCATGAGTACTGCTCGATGAATCATCGTCATCAAAATATCGGGGATTACGTTTATGTAATCGTTTACCAAGTATTTTAACATTTTTCGACGGGAAATCTGATGAAATTTCTGCATCTATTAAATTCAAACGAGCTGTGTCAATCATCTGAAAAATTGGTTATGATAGTGTTATTTTATTGAAAGAATGAATCAATTAGTCCAATATTAATAATTAGTACTAATAAACCATATGCTAATAATATGCTTCAATATACTGTCATTAAAATAACAATATTTAGAGTAGATGTCCGAGTAGATGTCAGAAAAGGGAAGACGAAACCCTTCTTACTTTTTTATTTTTGTAGATGAGAGAGCATGTACATTTACCATTTTTCATTTACATTAATTTGTTAATACAGTTTTTTTTTTTAATAACTCGAGTGAATTTTATCGGTTTTTATAAAATCCTCAATGATAATTTATGATATTTTCTTTTAAAATAACTTTATATCCTGCTCCTGATAATAAGCGATAAACTAGCAATTAAAAGTTTTAAAATTAGCATGTATTTTCGAATTTCTTTGAACATTAAAAGTATATGTATAAATGCATATAATTCATAAATCGCATAATTAATATCAAAAATTGAATTGAGTTATACAAAATCAAAATTTTTCTGAAAGTTCTGTGAAAGCTATTAAACAATTTTATATACCATTAAACGATTTGTATTTTTTAAAGAAATTGGAATAAAACTGTTTGAAAATAATACATAACTACACAATGTCCAATTCTCATGTAAATGAATGCAAAAATAACTGCTTGTATACTCACAAAAGTAAATTTAGTGAACATATATTCCAAAATTTTTTCTGTAAGATGAAATATTGTAAATTGTATTCTGAATTGCGTACCAAATGTGCCGAGAACTCTGCACTTGTAGGTTGGCCAATTTTGATGAGGAATTGTCCTTCGAACGACATTCTTTGCTGGAAAAGATGTATTGGGCCACTGACATTGAAATGTTCCACCTGATTCCCTAATCCAGAAATCCGGTACAACTTCTACAGTTTCTTCTTCCATAAAATAAATGATGCAAAATTTTGAAGTCATTTCTATAGAAAACCGTATATTAACATATTAAACATTTTAAAATTACTGACTGTGAATAAAACTGGAAAAACTATAATATTGTTGTGACGGTGTTTAGATCGGTAACATTTATCGAAAGTAGATAAAACGACGGCTTTTTGTTTTTTATGTCATCAATTGAAAATGCTCGCAGGGGACTACATGTACTGAAAATTTATATAATTCCAAAACAAGTCGAAGGTGCGGGAGAAATAAAAAAGGTATTGCATTTTTCAACATTTTTCCAAACTACAATATCATTATTCCGATGACATATATTTTTTATCATAACATGCTCTCATTAATCATAATACAAGTAAATTTAGTAAGCATATATTTTAAAAACTTTTTCTTTAAGATTAAATATTGTTAATTATATTCTGAATTGCGTACCAAATGTGCCGAGAACTCTGCACTTGTAGATTGGCCAATTTTGATGAGGAATTGTTCTTGGAATGATACTCTTTGCTACAAATGGTGCATGGGGCCACTGCCATTGAGATGTTCCAACTGGTTCCCTAATCCAGAAATTTGGTACAACTTCTTCTTCCATAAAATAGATGTTGCAAAGTTTTGAAGTCATCTCTGTAGGGAGCCGTATATTAAAATATTAAGCATTTTAAAATTACTGACTGTGAATAAGTGGAAAAACTACAATATTGTTATGGTGGTGTTTAGATCGATAACATGCATCGAAAATAGGTAAAACAACGGCTTTGTTTTTTATGTCATCAATTGAAAATGCTTGCAGGGAACTGTATGTACCGAAAAATTGCGCAATTCCAAAACAAGTCGAAGGTGCAGGAGAAGTAAAGAAAGGTGTTCCATTTTTCAATATTTTTCCAATAACTACAACATCATTATTTCGATTACATATATTTTTGACCATAACAATGCTCTCATCACTCATAATGCAATAGTTATTAGAAGCTTCTGTAGTGATTATAAAATGTTTAAATTTGATGTTCTTGTACATAGACGATCTGCATTCATTTATCAAACATCCATTGTAACATTCGGCACCTAATTTGTACGTATTAATGGTATTATCGATAGTGTAAACATTGCTTCAAATATTTCTTATTTCAAATATTTTATTGCTCAATTGTTCAAGAGGTTTATCGTTTTTTCTGACCATTTTCTTTATTTGCTGCAATTGATTTTCAAAAATAAAAGCTGAAAATTCATCTAATGCTCCCCATTTCAAAACATCATCAGCGAGGTGCAGCAAACCATGAGTATTATATGTAACGTTATTTTCTCCGTATAATTTTATAAAATCGATAAAATATGCTTCCAATAAGTTTTTTGCATACCTGTTTTGTTCCACATTTATTCCAGGCGTTGCTAAGATACGTATTGCGACAAACAGTTTAAGAAAATGTTCATATACATCCTGTCGTATAATTTTACGCAATACGATTGGTCCAGTGTATAAGGTAAATTCTCGATATTCAGTCGCTTTCATACGATCAAGCTCATCTAATGCTCTTGGTTTCCGAGCAAAATCAAACGGGATATGCTTTCTTAAAGCAATCTGTCTCTCTGAAATATCATTAACTTGTTGCGCTCCTAGTTTCGTTGGATTTAGTTTTCCTGTCATCAGCTTTAGCATTTTTTTCGTTTGCCCCAATAAAATTAAATGCATATAGTCGTGAGGTATGTCCAAAATCATGTCCGTGATAATATTTAATAAAGGACTTACTCCACTGTGATGTTGTTTCTGAGTTTGATTGACAAATGATTCAGTGGTACGCAATGGAGCATTCATTTCTGGAAACACTATTTTTCCTTTGTAGATGCCTTTAGTTTCACATTTGGGACATCCATAATATCCGCTGTGGCCTTTTGTGCAAGAAATATAAGCCTTTGCAGGCGCATCACATATGAAGTTAGCGATAAAAAATTTCATATTATTGCCTTTCCAATTGAAGCCATTTTGTATTAGTTTTTGAGCTTCTTCAACAAAGTCGTGTAAAAATATAGCAGCAGCTGGTGGCTTTTCAAATCCGTGAAATGTTCCAACCAGAAAAGGTGTCTTGTTGACAAAGTTACGAAAACTTACAAGAATGGTCCACAGTTGGCTCTTGGAACTTTTTACAAGCGGTAATCCATCTACATTAACAGACAAATGTATTTCTTCAGGTATGCGTCTTTAATATACGCAAAAGATTAGTTACGGCGGATATACATATATTGTTGTCCTGAATCCATTGCACTAAATTTTGTTGTAATCTAGTGATGTTAATTCCATTATTGATTTCGTGTTCTGACTCAACTGAAGCTTTACTATCATAATCATCTGATGGTATGCCAGGTTCAATTACATTAACTTCTTCCTCCTCTTCTATTTTTTCTTCTTCTACTACTACTTCTCGTTGTATTAATTGATAACATGTATTTTTTTCGTGTAACTTGAACGAAGAATCTAAGTTTTGTTGCAACTGTCTATAATTGACAGTGTTTGACTGTGCCGTGTCAGGTTCAGCTAAATAATCCAGTTCATCAGGATCAAAGATTTGCATATTATTAACTTCAAAATCGTGTATTGCATGTCTTACAAGTCTATTTCTATGCTGATGACTATATAACTTGCGTTTTCTTGGTTTTGACATGTTTGCGCCAAAGGGATTAAACTGCAGAACATAATAAATAAATACACAAGACAAATTTGTTTGAAGAACTGCACACTTAAGACTTCTCTTAATATGTTGACTACCACGTCAGACCACATCAGTCGCGCGACTTCAAAACCAAACCTAACATGAAGTTATATGTAACTCACATGACGCTCGGATCATGGCATTGTGCGAGTTGCATTTAACTCATGTGGCAGTCAATGTGTTAAAGATTATATTTACAAATTGATCATTTCAATAATAATTAATTAATTAATAAAAATAGGTTACAAAAATATGTGCCTTCGAAGTTGAGTTAGTTTTCAACATGCTTGTAAGCATATATTCATTAATTTTCATATTCCTAGCCAAGAAATACAAAATCAGCTGTGCCATTTAGTAGAGCACATAAGAACCGGTGGCTCGTGAATAACCTGCTAGCGAATAAACTGCTAGCTTTAGCGTCATAGAAAATGTGCATTTAATTTTATAAAAACAGTTAACTTTTAATTTAATTACAAATTAATAATTTATGGTTAACTTTAATTTAATTGGCAATACATAAATTAAAGCATTTTGTATATTGTTTAAAATAAGCAAACAAAAATTTACATTATTTACCAAATGATATAAGTACAAAATAAAAAATACAAAATGTATTAAATTAAATGTATCAAATTAATTTTGTGAAAATTGTGTACAAATTGTTGGTATAGTAAAAAATCAATCGCAAGCCTAATTTTGTTTTTAATGAATGCTATAGAGGTTTGAATTTTTATTTATAATTAAATGTTATTGACTATTACAATATATACCTATATCTTATACTAATAAAGTGGAACATCTGTCCTTGCATTAACAATTTGTACCATATTCATTTATAGGAAAAAAACATTTATAGGAAAAAAATCTTAAAAATCGACAGTGACTCTGGCATATATTTGAAACGCAAAGAGTCAGTAAGAGATGTACTGATAAACAAAAAAATAAGCCCTTAACCCTTTTTGGAAAAAACCAAAACTACATTTACATGTCACCCTTAATTGGGTTTAATAACATCCGTAATTCTAGGATTGGCCAATCACAGTCATTCCATTCTTCTGAGGAATAGCTGTGGTTGACCAATTCTAAAACTATCAATGTTATTAAACCCGATTAAGGATGATGTGTAAAAATAGTTAAAGTTAACAAATGTATTTCAATTCGTCTGATTGTTTAATTGTTCGCGACAGCGTAACTTTTTGTCGGACAAACGAATGTTCAGACGATTGAACTGTCGGACAATCGAATATTCGGACGATTGAAATACATCAAAATTAACTTTATAATCCGGTATTACACACGAAACCACAAAATGCAGATAAAATGCTAATAAATGTACTTACCGCTTGATCAACACGTTGTAAAATCCGAGGTTATGATTGTCGTCGCCGTTCAGTAGTTTATATTGGCGGCACGTCACTGATCTCTACACAAAATCGCTACCGATATTTACAATCAGGTTTTTAATTTTCGATTGGTTTTGTGTAATACGTTTCTTTATTTGCTGACACAAGGCACGAGTGAGAAGACAGTGCGAGTACGAGGAACGAAGAGACATTTTGGAATGCCACAAAGGGTGTGGAGATTTAGCTGATTACAGGGCATGCACACGCCCAAAAAGTTATTAAGACTAAAATTTTCTAGGGAAATTTTAACGTGGAAACGTAGAACACACGCTCTTATTGGTTGGCGCGCTGCATACGGTGTCACGGCATACTAATTAATTATTAATTTCCCAAATTAATTGAAAATTTCTATGCTAATAACTATATATTTGTATATCAATAAAATTAAAATTTTTTTAAATTTGTATAATTATATTTTTATATTTATTTCTTTTAAATTATATATAATTATATTTATATATATATTAATTTCAAAATTAAGAAATGTTTTACTTACTGTTTAAATAATTTCAATTCATATTTTACGGACTAATATAAAAAACTTTTTAATTATTAATTATAAAGAATAAAATTGTTTAAAACAAGAAAATTATTCAAATATATATCAATATTATGTTATTGTAAAAATTGGACATAGCCTATTACAAATAATGCGTTTTAAACAATATAAAATTTATTCTAAGAATATTATAATTACATATATGTATAATAATAGAATTTAAACTTACAGAGAATAACTTCAGGACATACAATATACATTTTCCAGACATAAAAGAAACACAACCGAAATTTACATGTATATATTTAAAAAATGTTATATCGACATAATGCTCGATTTCTAGCTATACAGGCACATTATACATATTTCATTATTATTGTATACTCAATATCAATATTATGCAATGTCTGGAATATCCTTTATAAGTCCTACAATCATCCTATTGCAGTTGCGATTTTAATAAGATGTCCGAATAACGTACTTTGGACGTATCGCGGACGGGGGACATAAATAGGACTTATGAGGATATATATCGGACGTCCAAAGGACGTCCATGTGTTGTGTGGGAATATTCAATTTTCTCAACAAGAGAATCAAAAATCTCTAAATAAAGTAAATTTAGGATTCGAATGTGAGGAATATCTCGATAAATTAATGAAAGAAGGACACACAGACATAGTTGCAAATGTTCGAAAAAATTGTTTGCAATTTTGCGTCACTGCTGCAGAAGAAATTAGTAAAAGATTACCAATTAATGACAAATTTTTGTCTAAATTGAAAGTTTTAGAAGCAAACGTAGCTTTATCGGATAGTGACAGAGAAATATCATTCATTGATGTCTCTTTTATCGCTCAAACTTTTGGTGGTTTTGACGAAGATGGTTTAAAGAAAGAATGGTATCTTTTATATCATGATTTTTTACAAGTAGAAAAAGAAAATCTTTCAAAATTAAATTTTGATGACATGTGGAAAGAAATCTTACAAAGTCAGAACTATTAACATTGCAAAATATCCCAATCTAAAATCTTTTTTGAATGCTGTTAGATCACTTCCAAATTTGAATGCTGAGTCAGAAAAAGTGTTTTCTGTTTTATCAGAT